GAGCCGGTCCCGCCCCGGGGCTGCTCTGGGGCTGGTTCGTCCCCTCCTGTTGCACCCACCCGGTCTGCCCGCCGGGGCTGGTTTGGGTGGCCTTCGTCTCGGGGCTAAAGAAAGCCAGCGGAGCCTCATCTCGTCTCCACAAGTCAAACCACAAGAAAATGCTGCCCTCCAAAAGACACAACTCCCGGGAGGAATCCCCGCAAATCCAGAAATTTCCATGACCATCCCTACTGCTCTGAACGGATTTTTTCAAGTGGATTAATGTTGATCACTGAACTAGAGCTAAAAGCGAGCTAAATTTGACTTTTTGCTTGTTCTAGCTCTTACTCTGATCCTGCAAACAGTTAAACATACACTTAATCTCCTTAATTAGGTTATGCATATTTCCAAGATGAGAACCTGTGTGGTAATCAATGAAAGTGTCACATGATGGATGTACAAGCAAATTGTTTTCCCCCTGTGCTTTCCTCAGGAAATCACCATTTCTTCCAGTGAGCTGAGAAATCTGCTCTCAAAACTGAATGGCTCAATAAAAAAAAGTTTGTGAACTTTCCCACCTGCTATAGTCTCTGAAACAAAATAAAATAATAAAGGCCCTTTTGTCTTAGAAAAAGATGGTTCCTACTACAATTTTTACCACTTTCTCTTAGTTGGTGTTTTGGAAACCCTGATCATCATTACATTCTTGGGAAAGTTTCCCATGCCTAAATGGGAAAAAGAATAAAGCAGGGATCACTGAGCGTGCCTACAGTATTTTTGAGAGGGAAAGCTTTTTATGAGGCCAACTGTAATACACCCCTACTGCCTTATGCTAATGGCATAAGAAACTGCAAAGACAGTATACAGCCAGAGCACCCTTTTTATGGTCAGGGTGTGTGAGCATTATGCAACATCAGGGCTTTCTGCTGCTCACCTTCTGCCTCAAAGTCCTTTCTGAATTGATAAGGCCCAGAGGATATGAGTGAAAGGTCTCTCAACACTAGCTCCCAACAAGAGAAACAAAGATAACATAAAGAAGTATTAAGATATTACCACCTCTTGCATTAACATGTTCATGTTCCGTGCACAAACTGCTTTCACACAGAAACTTCAGACTGGAGACCTTTGGACATGGGAATCTTTATACCTGAAGTTTACAAGTATCTTGCAGAATAACAGACTTATGGTGGGAAAAATATTCAGGTGAATTACTTGCCACAAATGAGGAACTTAAGCAGAGGAAATGCAAATACATTTCTAGCCCCCCTTTTCTGCCTGTGACTCCTCACATATAATTGACCCTGTGGTTTTTTAGATTTTTCTCACTGTCCCTCAACACAACCATATGTAGTTGAGCAGCAGGTCCATCCTGTGGCAAGAGCCCTAGCTCTACAACCCAGCTTGTCCATTTTTGGAACCTGGGCATACTAGAGCCCACCTATTCTGATGTTTTGGCCCAGTTACCTATGGCAATTTTCTAGCGTCGAATTCCAGGTTCACCAGGTGTTCAGAAGTTTCCTGCTGTCCTGTAGAGAGAGACCCTTCAGCTAGCTCAACTGCCACAAACAGGGGAGCTGCATTTGACTATTCCTCTGGGAATTAATGGATCTCGTCAACATACCTCTAAAAAGTATTGAAGGGAAAGAAAATAAGGAATGTATTTAAAATTAAAGCATTTCTAATACTGAACCTTTCAAAATATTTTCTTAGTTGAAAACATGAGCTGAATGGTAAATGAACTTAAAGGTAACTACATTTATTTTAAAGAAAACTAAAAATTAAAAAAACCCTAAAGCCTCAAATTATGGTCTTTCTGTACTTGAAAATTCAAACTCCAGCTATTTCGTGTTTTGCTGATTGGTCTGTGTTACAGCCTTGATACTCGGGGTTCTTTTATATTATTAGCAGATACATACTGCATGTTACTTTCCTCTGTTATCAAGTGTGTGAGCAGTAGGGGTCTTAGAATCTTTCCATATTAGCTCATTATTTCTGTGCTGCTAAAAACACACCTCTATAGCAGTATTTAACATGAAGTTCTTCCAGTTAATGTTTCCTAACACAGAAAAATAGTTAAAGAAACCTTTTGTCTCTCGTAGGAGACTTAAAAATCAATTTTATATTTGTGATCTCTGAGTTGGTGTGCATAAACATTTATAAATTATGTTACAATAATTCAAGTTAGAAAATCAAGTTTCTAGAGCTACTCTTGATGCAATGATAAGTACAAGGATCAGAATGTTTTCAGAGTTAAGTTCTTAATGAGGAATTAATTAGGTAAAAATATTTTCTAGAGTTATATTGAAATATTGTAAAAGAGGTATTTCAAAGCAATTCTAAAGGTGGTATTTTCTAGCAGTATAGTTCTGCTTAAACACTGGTTTACTATATATGTATTCAGTAAAGCAAGTAATAAATAAATTCACGTACAATTTGAAAACAAACAAATACATGTAAGGACCTCATTATGAATAATACATGTTATGAATGTTGTCGTTTGGGTTTAAAAGATATTTGCAACACGAAGATTATCTTGTTAACAGGCATTTGTACTATTAAAGGATTTCATTCCATCTAGTTTTGCTCAATCATGTTTTTGTAACATCTATTTTACTACTATTTACTTTCTGATTCCTTTAGATAGCTTCTGTAAGAATCAGCATCCTAACAATATTGGCAGTATTTACAAAAGACCATTTGCACTGTGAAAGATCACCTAAATTAACTGCACAAACTACTAGCAATAATTAAAATTACAGTTTTAATTGTAGCATAATTTCAATATAGCCACAAGTTATAAGTGCAGTATGCAAAACATTAGTTAGAACTCTACAGAACAGGAATAAAGTTATCAAATGAAAGCTCTCATTTTAAGGCATTATGTTTGCTGAGCCGTTAGGATGATATTAGCAATGTACCACAGTCCTTTACAAAAGAAACACACTTTCTGGTTGCTCTGCTGAGCAGGTAATGTATTAAACCCATCTAATACTTAACAAATGTGAACTAAGCCTCTATTTTAATCCCTTGCCAAAAGCTTGGGCTAGAAGAGTTTTAGAAGCGTGCAATTCCTTTATTTTCTCTAAGGGGGAATTCATATCTCCTTTACATTCCACTTCCCTGTGACTTACAGTTAATCCTAGTTATTCCTCTTTGTTTATGCCACAACTCTTTTATACCATCCTGCTCCTCCCTTGTAGTCCACCTCCTGTCCACAGCCAGTAGCGGATTTCAGCTCCTCACTTGGGTCAGCAGAGGAGCATGCTCAAGAGAAAGAGACTAAAAACATGGAGGGATCAACTTTGCAGCTCCCAACAAAAGTCAGGTCTGCTCCTACTGCTGTTGGACTTAGCAGAAAGAATACACATGCTGGTGAGTGCATATATGCACACCACTTGGGCCTCTCTAGCTGCCAGGACAAGACCCAGTAGTCTATTACTAAGACAACTTATATAAATACACATCTTGGGAGGTCAAAGAATATTAAAATAAATGGGAGTGATAGTGAACTTGTTCTGAAAAACATATTTCCAAAGCCCAGGAGACATTACCTTTATGTTTTAGGAACTTATTTTTTTATGCTTTGAAGTAAAAACTTGAGTACACAAAATAAATATACATCGATTGCTCCAATTACACTTTGGCTAGACAAAAGTCTTTGCCTTTGTTACATTTTGCCAAGTGTCAGGGTCTGTGAGCCCAATTTGAGTCAGAGCCTGAGTCAGAATGCGACCCTGTTCAGGAAGACCTGAATAGGAAGCTTTATTGTTTTGGGTCTGTCCCTGATTTGGGACCTGCTTGCTCCCACTGGGTGTTCAGTTGATCTAAAGTTCTCACGGATATGCACACATTTAATACATATACAGAGTTTAGAAGCAGGTGAATGTTTACTGAAGTAACTAAATGAAACAAGGGAGAACAGGGAATACTGGATGCACAAAGGGGATCAATTGTTATGTGAACATGGAATGCCGGTAACGTTTGAGTTGTATTGTGACAGGAAATGCAGAAACAGGAATGGTGGGAGGAGTTATGATAGATGATGGTGTTGAGCCCAAAGCTGATGCCATTCAAGTAGATGCAAGAGGTGTGTGAATGAGAGCCAGTTACATTCCACTCTGGGACAGATTTGCTAAGTGAGATAAAAATATAAAAGGTGGTCTTACGTTTCCAGATGTAGCTGGTCTCGTGGTGACAGGCGCTACAGGACGGGCTTGGTTCAGGGGCAGGATTGGCACAGTCACAGGGACGCTGCGGTGGCCGGTGTGCTGCTGCAGGGGTAGTGCTGCTGCAGGGGTAGTGCTGCTGCAGGGGTAGTGCTGCTGCAGGGGTAGTGCTGCAGCAAGGTTCCCCTCACTTTCAGGCTCCATGGACTAGTGGTCCAGCCACCATTTGTCTAGGCTCTCAGACAGCAATGATATCTAGCTCTTTGTTTCAGCTCTTTTGTTTCCTCAGGACACGGGATCAGAGCACCAACTGCTATTTTCCTGAAGAATTAGTGATTCCAGCCTTTTCCTTGTTCTCACAGCGAAGGCCATATACTTCTTTTTCCTCAGGTGACAGGCAGGACTCTCAGGTAGGCAGACCTCAGCAGCACTAGCAGTCCTTGCTTTATAGTTCAGAAAGCAGGGAACCGTGCCCTGCCATTGGTTCCTTTTGGATCCTTGCTTTGATTGGTTTACTCCAACTAGTTGTCAGTGTCCTCTCAGTTCTTATTGTGCAATGGCTTTTCTTTGTCCCATCACCACCGAACAATGTTGCAGAGTCCATTCCCACCACAGTTCTATACAGCAGGCTCTCTGGCCATGTCCTTGTCGGTCCTTGAGCTCTGCTTATAGTCCAGTTAGTGGTGGCTGTTTTGTCTCTCTTCATGTATTAGTCAGTTTTGGATGAGAGACATATTTGTATTATGAGAAGCAGGTCCCTCACAGCCAAGTCATGCAATTTTTAATTACTCTTCAAAGGAGCAAAAAAGTACTTGCTAAAAACAATGCTTTCCATGCCAGCCCACACAAGCGATGAGCAGCAGAACTGGCATGGCATCCTGCACTTTTCTGTCCCACTTCCTCAAATCTTCCTGTGGCCCAGTTATGGCTGCTTTGTGCCACCTGCGTTTCCCAGCTACTGGCAGGTCTCAGGTTACGTGCGTGGTGTTAAGGTCAGGAAGTAAAGGAGATGCTAGTTTGGTTTTCCACCTGATGTTCCTAGAGTGGTCTTTGTTAAGCCTTTAGGAATTCACACTTTTTAGATCTCTGTCTCCTTGTTGAGTGTGGTTGGAATTAGCAAAGTGCTAGCAAGGGGGGCCGATCCACAAAGAGATTATGTGTATCTTTAAAAAAATTTCTTTCTAAGGAACTAGAAGACATGACAGCCCAACAAAGGTTCAAATTATAGGCAAACAAGGGTTCACTGGATTTTGTCAGTAACTATGAAGTATTTATTCTGGGAATAAATGTATCAATTTTCAACTTAGTTTTTTTCAGAAAGCCAGAAACACAAGAAAACTTGCAAGTATTTCTCAGCTATACTGAGTAAAGTAATATAATCTTTGATAACAAGTTGAACATTTAAAATGTCAACTTTTGTTTCTTTTTGGGAATATCCACCATGGTTACATAGAAATATGCAAATGAGTGCAGGGCTCACTGACAGAGCTTTAAACTAGACTTGAAGGGGAAGTAGATAGTATCGGGCTTCCCTGTGACAAGGTGTGGGATGACACACCAAGGTTAGAAGGATGGGGCACCAGCAAGGGCCCTCGGTCTGTTGCTCAGAGATGTGCTGGTTGCACTGGAGCACACATGCAGTCTGATGGAGATGAGCCAGGGGCACCTAAGGTAATAGAAGCCAACAGGGAAACAACAGGGAAGTACCCTGAAGGAATTAAGATGTGCTTTTCTAAAAAGGTGACACAACTGACAGACAGCCCAGCTGAAATGCAGGAGGTTGGACTAGGTTCCAACCTTGACTGTTCTGTGAGTCTGTGAGTAGCAACTACTCAGAATTAAAAAAAATTAGTAATGCAGCATGCCAGTAAGCACAGTAGGGCAGCCTGAAGAATTATATTGATATCATAATGTCATATTTTTGCACAATTTTAAAGTTTTTGTATGAAAATGAGGGACAGCAAGAACATATTTTAAATTAAAAATTTAAAAAATGAAGTGTTTTTAAGAATGATAAGGCCTTGCTTAATGTGAAAAAAGTATGGAAATATCTTCAAATTTGAACTTTGAAATTCCCTTTGTAACCTTGTAAGAAACAATAGAGCAATGGGTTTGATGTATTGTAGTAGTGCCTCTGGCCAACGTGTGATGAGGTCCTTGCATCCTCAAAGACGGCTGTGAATCCCAAGACCCAAACACTCAGATGTTTCAGTTTCATTGAGAGATCATAGAGGGTACCTGAACACCTCTGATTATTTGGCTGTAGAGGTCTTATCCTTTCTAACAGCAGAGTCAAGCCTTGGCCTTTACTCAAGCCTTGGCCTTGTCACACCTCCCTCTGGGCTAGGCCAGGCAGGCCCGTCCTGCCCAAGGCCGCCTCCTGCCCCTCGTCCTGCCGGTGATGGCCCTCGCCTGCTGCCCCTCGGCGCAGCCTGGAGCACGCAGGGCCTGCCTTTGCAGAGGGCTGCGAGCACATCCACTCCGTGGGGACGACCGCGCTGCTCCTGCGGGAGCAGGTACCTCGGCGGTGCCCCGCGGGTCACGGCCCGGGGAAGGAGGGAGCTGGGCCGCAGCCCGGG